CCCCACCCCCAGATGATTCAGGCACCCCCTTTGGGCTCTGACAATCCCTTGAGCTTCTCCATCCCAGCCCTGATCACTCTGGGCTGTCACTGCTTGGTAATGGGTCTATTTTTCCCACTGAACTATGAAACCCATGAGGGCTGGGCTGGGCTGTCTCAGTCGCTGCTGTGTCCCCAGTACCATCCAGTATAGGGACAGTACATGGCAGGTACTCAGAAGCCAGTTCATTCATCTATTCATTCAACTTGTATTCATTCAGTGACTACTTGCTGGGAAGCCCTGTCAAGAAACTGGAGGTACAGCACAGAACAGAAAAAAAAAATCCCTAGTAAAGATGACATTCTTTTGCAGAAGACAATAAATGAGTGAAACATACAGTATGTGCCTTGGAGAAATAGAAAGCAGGGGAGGGGGGACAGTGGCATCACAGTTGAAAATGGTGGCCGTCTGAGTTCAAAAATGGCAATACAACACATCTGGGGCAAAGAAGCATTATTGTCCCTGTTTTTCAGATGCAGGGCAGGCCTCAGGGAAATCATTGCCCAGGCTGCACAGTGTCAGTTTGTCGGCTGGGAATTTGAACCCAGAGCTCAATTCTGCTCCTGGCTACCACACTGTCCAACCAATTCATGGACACACAATAAGGCAGATGTCTTTTCCTTGCTACCCTAAGGGAGGCCTGAGCCTGTGAAAGGGCAGGATGTGGGGTGAGGGAGTAGGGCTCCTTATGGTTTTTGAACCAGGTGTTGCTTGAAGCACTTTATATATTTCTCAAGTTTTTTTTTTTTTTTTAGCTCCACTTAACAGATCAGGGAACTAAAGACACAGTGAGGTTAAGTGATTGGAATGAAGGGGCATAGCCAGGATATGGTGGAGCCAGGATTTGAACCCAAGCTGCCTCAGGATCCCAGAGGTGAACAACTGCCTCTCCTGTTGTTTATCATTAATAGGTCTATAGCTGCCCTCCCTTCCTCCCTCACCAACAGTAGCTGAACCCAGAGGAGGTTTTGGCCTCTCAAAAACTACCCAAATCCCCTCCCCCTCCCAATCTTTGAGAGAGACATTTGAAACTTTCTCCAAATAGAAAGGATATGTGAGTGCAGCTTTAGAAAGAGGACTCTGCTCTCCGTCCAGCCAGGCTGCTCTTGCCAATCCATCCTCCGTGGTTGTGGAGCTGCTGCCGCTGCTTCTTATAACGTCATATCAGATTCCGTCCCTCCTCTCCCGCAAATCCTCCAGTGGCTCCCGCCTCACTCAGAGTGAAGCCAAAATCTTCTCCAAGGCCCATGAACCCCCAGCTGATCTGCCCGGATCACTCCTCTGACCTCATCCTCCAGCCCTCTCCTTCCCCACTGGCCTCCTTGCTATCCCTTAAATATTCCTAAATATTCCATGTTCCTCCCTCAGGGCCTTTGCATTGCTGTTTTCTCTGCCTAGGATGCTCTTCCCCCAGATAGCCACGTTGCTCTCTCCCCCCTTCAGGTCTTTGTTCAGATATCACCATTTCAGAAAACCTTTTCTGACCATCTTGTTTAAAACTGTAACTTTTATTGTGCAGTCCCCATTCTAACACATCCTATAATCTACTTACCTGTTTGCTAGTTGTCTCTGTCCCCTGCTAGAATGTAAACTCCATAAGGCCAGGGACCTGTTTGTTCACTGATGTGTCCCCAATGCTTAGAATAGGGTTGGCATGTAGAACATGCTTTTCATATAGTTGTTGAATGAATAATTTTGCGTTTTCATTCCCATGTTGCAGGTGCAGCAACTGAGGCACAGTGACATTAAGCCACCTGCCCCAAGGTCATGCAACTATTTAAGTACTAAGTGCTAGAACCATGATTAGAACCAAGGTGTTCCAGTCCCCCAGAGACACATAGCTAACCACTGTCCTACACTGCCTTGCTCAGGCAAGCTGTGTGAATAGGATACTTACCTCTCCACCTGGGGAGACAGGGTTGCTGAGGCTTGATTGCCTCACCTCTCTGTACCCCCAATTCTAGAAGTCAAGGGAGGTCTGGGTCTAAGCTACCTATAGTCCTCCTCCCCCAGTGTTGATGAGCAATGTTCGTGAAGGCTGATGGGGCAACCCCTCAGGTATGGTAACGTAGCAGAGGTGAAGACAATATGGAGATTGTGACGTGGGGTGGTGTGGGGTGGCAGCCATGGCAGAGAGTATCATGATCATGATACAGGGAATGTGACTGACAGCACGGCAATGATGACGGCAGCGGGGGGGACGGGGAAAGGGACAATGAAGAGGTGGTGAAAGTGATTGGATGAGGGTGAGAGTAACACGGTTAATAACATTATTAGCCCAAATCGCCATGTCAAGCAGAGCATAGCATTAGAATAAACTGGCAGAATCCTCACAATAATCCCTGACGTATGTGTCCTGTGTGCATTTCATAGATGAGGAAGCTTAACTTAGACTGCAAGTGTGATATGGTGGTCAAGGTTACCCAAGGTTCAGTGGTGGAGCTGGTATTCTGGCACACCCACGGTAATGGGCTCTAGTATCCCGTATGGTGGTATGTGAGAGGTGACACTAGAAAATGACGGAGATATGGAGGGGAAAAAAACCTGTAAGACAGGGTGGCTCCTTAGGAGAAAAACTAGAAGCATGGACAGTGACTACCAGAGGAGCAAAGGTGACATTGGGGGTGGGGGGATGGTGACCTAGGAGTGAGGGTAACATAAGAGGAGCATGAGCGCGATTTATGGAGAGGGTGGCAGGAGGCGTATGATGAGAAATGAGGATTTCATAACGGAGAAATACCAACAAAAGATGGGCGACATAAAAAGACGATGGTGACTTAAAAGGGGCAACTGCGACCTATGGTGGTAATGGAGGCTTAAAGGGGGCGAAAGCAGGTTAAAGGGGTTGAAGGCGACAGGAAGATGATGGCGACAGAAGGGGAGTGGTGACGATTTAACTGGGGAGGAATGGCAATATAAAAGAACCAAGGACGATATAAAGGTAGAGATGCATTATAGATACGACGTGACAACACGAGGAGGGTAGCGAGGCGCCGCGCCTCCAGAACGCACAGTACCTGTTCTCCACGTCTCCCACTCCCGGACCCAGCCCCGCACACACCTTCTGTGCTGGACCCCGGCCCCACCACCCCCGCCGCACGCAGGCGCACTCGGGCTGGACTGCGGCCGGCGGGGGCCAGGCCTGTGCCTTTCTGATTGGCCGCGCTCCTCGCTAGCGTGAGGCGGAGGGAAGCACCTGGGAGACTGTGATAGGTCACGTGACAGTGGTCGCCGCACTCTCGTTTGTGGCGGCTCGGCGGGCTAGAGCGGCCGCGGGCGGGTCAGTCCAGCTTCCGGCGATGAAGGCGGTCCTTCCGGGGCGGGCCTCCGGGCCGAGGGAGGAGCGTCTGCTTGTTGGCGCCGCCGGCCGGGAGGGCGGGCGGCAGCAGTGGGCGCGGGCTCCGAGGGGCAGGTGAGACGCGGGCCAGGGGAGGTCGGACTGGGACGGAAATGGTGGGAATGGATGGCGTCCGTGTCTCCGGAATCAGTCTTGGAGCAGCTGTGCGGCCCTGGACAAGCGACTTCTTTCTCTGAATCTCAGTTTTCCTCCTCTGTACAATGGGGGTCAGAATCCGACTATAGCTTCCTCCTCTGTGGAATGGGGGTCAGAATCCGACTATAGCTTTCTCCTTATGGGTTGGAGTGAGAAGTCAGCTTGTGCATGTCGGTGCCCCTCGTTCAGTGCCTAGGGGGACAGTGCTCACTCGTTCTTATGCCATTATCGTTAGTATTGATGATGATGTTTGCGCTTGGCGTGAAAGACCTGGGTGTGGGAGCATGAAAGATTGTTGGACTTGGAGGCCGGCAGATTTCAGTTCAAGTCCCAGTTCCACTTTGTGGCAGTGTGCCTATGCCTTCATCTCTCCGAACCACATTTTCCTCTTCTATACAATCCTCTTCTATACAATGAGGGCTAATAGTTCAAATATCATAGGGTCGTTGTGAGGATGCTGATGAAATGTGGGTGTATAGCCGGTAGCACAGGGCCTGGTACAGTCTTGAGTAGGAGCTTAGTAGATTGGGACTATCAATAATTATGAGAGTCATTGGTGTAGCTGGGACTTCCAAGGAGGTAGAGAGAAGGAGGAAGCTCGAAGATAGTAATAGGAAAATATTGGAAACTGGTGTTGGGGAAACCAACATCCTGCCACTTACTATTGGCCAATTGTTCCAAATCCCATACTATTAGATTTTTTTTTCTTTAAAACTACTGATGCGTTTTCCTCCAGTCAGTTAATTTGAGAAGGAAAAATTGTATTTGCTCTCCTGATGAAAACTGGCTTGGCTGGTGGTGAGACGGAACACTTAACCTGCAATACAGTGGAAGCTGAACAGCCTGTTAAATTGTAGATGGAAACAAAGCGATTTGAAAGGGAATAACTTGTATTACGTGATTCCGTGTTGTCAGGTCCCATGGTCCCCATCAAGTTATTTCATACTTGTTCCCAGCTCACACTTTGCATATGATTTACATGGGCCAGTGACTGCCCTACCCTTTTCCCTAGCTTGCTGAATTTATTTTATTTAATGCACACATACTAGCACTTATCACCTCTGAGCATTGTTCTAAGGGCTTGGCATTTATGAACTCACTTAATCCCTCTAACCACTTTAAGAATAAATATCCCTATCATTCTTATTTTATAATCGAGGGAAGTGAAATCCAGAAAGATGGAGCCACTTGCCCCAGAGTTAGGGTTAGGAAGTGGTAAAATTGGGATTTAGATCCAACCCTTCTAAGGGCATCTAGTATGTTATAATTATTTGAGTTTTGGGAGTGGTCATTTTTCCATTATTATTAATGTTATAATTTTCACTGTTCAGGAGAGCCAGCGTTGGATATGGACTTTTAACAGTAAAGAAAGGAAACTGAGTCCAGCAGGAAATTCTGCCGCTATAGGAGAATACCAGTACTTAAAAACTTCTGGTAAGCATTAACTGAAACTTTGCAAAGACCAACCACAGTGCCTGGCTTGTAGTAATTCCTCAAACCAGCATTAATCATAGCCATTGGACTGACTTGGGTTCAAGTCCTGGCCCTGTAGTTACTTGCTGCGTGACCTTAGACCTGCCACTCTCATCTGTAACATGGAGATCATTTTTGCTTTCTTCCCCTGTGGTTGTGAGGAGTCACAGAGATGTGTATATACTCAGTGCCTGGCATGTGAACATTCAATAGGAACTGCTGCACAGGCACTGGAATCAGGGAAAAGTTGTTTTTGACTCCTGGTAAAGCCACTTACGAGATGTGGCATTTGGCAAATGACTGTACCTCAATGCATTGGTTTTTTTCATCGATTAAAATATGGCTAATAATAGTCCTCACTCATGAGGAGGTAGTGAGGCATCAGCATGATGCATGGTTTTGGTCCTGGTGCACAGTCAGTGCCTGGCATGTGTGATATCTGCCTTACTGAAGCCTCTCCACTCCTTGCTTTTTGAGTGAGGCCAGTTATGTTTTCTTTGCCCAGCAGTAAAATCCAGGAGGGAAAGTGGGTCCTAGGGAGTCAAGTACAGGGCGGAATGATGTCTGTGGTCATGTTCATCAATAAGAGATGCAAGCAGAAGCCAGTGAAGGGCAGGATGAATCCTAGCCAGAGGCAGAGGAGAGAGTCTCGCATGTGGAGTCTTAGGGAAAGCTTCACAAAGCAGGTGGTGGCAGCTAAGCAGAGTGAAGGAGGGCTTGCCAGGAGGACAGGAGGAGATAAGCATTCCAGGCATAGGTGACATTCCCTGTGAAAACTGGGAGGCAGGCAAAGCCCCTGGGTGTTAAAGGGAAGGCTGAGGTGGGAGCCCTGGGAGATGAGAGACTAACCCACACTTGTAGAGTACTTGAAATGCAGCAGCACTGTCTCAGGTGCTTTGTACAAAGAAACTCATCGAGCCCGCACAGCACTTCTCTAAGGTAAGTAAGGTTTGTACCATCCCACTTTACAGATGGGGATACCGAGGCCTGGTGCAGTAACTTGCCGACGTCACACAGCTAGTAAGTTGATAGAGCCAGATTTGAACCCTGCAGCCTGGTTCCAGAGTCCTTACTCTTATACTGTCTCTGTTATACCATCAAAATGGGGGCAGGGCCTGGAGGAACAGATCATGTGTTCTGGACAGAGGGCCTTCTACACCCCGAGAAGGAGGCGGAGGAGGGATGAGGGTGAAGGATCAGAATTGGGGGCTGGGGTGGGTCGCGAGGAGCGGAGTGAAGGACGAGGGCAGAGGAGATGGAGGAGGGCTAAGTGGGAAGTCTGGGCCAGGGCAGCGTGGGACAGGTGGTCCTGGAGTCAGATAGCATTGAATCATCAGGAGAGAAAGTTACTTCCTTTAGTTTCCTTTCAATGCGCTATTAATGTCTAGGAGAAAGTCTCTGTTGGTGCCAATATGTCTTTAACACCTTTCTAGCACCTGCTAATCTTATCTAAGTGACAATTGGTTTTTCATTTCTCCTCTGAGGCCTCTCCTGACCTGGGGCCCCACCTCTCTGCCCTTGCCTCCTCTCACTCTCCCCGCTCACTCCACTGCAACCACTGGCTCCTTACTGTTCCTCAGACATGCCAGCTGGGCTCCTGGCTCAGGGCAATGGACTTGCTTTACCTTCTGGAACACTTCCTTTGTAAAACCACAGGGCTTACTCCTTCTCCTCCTCTGGGTCATCCTATTCAGAATTGCAACTCCTTCCTTCCCAGGCCTTCCATGTTTTCTCCATGACACTCTAAGGCTTCCTGACACACTACATCGTTAGCTGTTCTACTTGTTTACTCTGTCTCTCCCTTCCCCCTGTCCTTACCTACATGCCAAACTCCATGTTTTTGTTGACCTCAGTATCCCTAACTCACAGAACAGTGCCACACACATAGAAGGTGCTTAGTAACAGTTTTTGAATGGATGAATGAATGGGTATTTATGGTTAAAGTCTTGGGCAGGGGGTCTGTTTTCTGTCCCTCTCTTATTCAAGCAAAAAACTTTTGAGGTGTGAGAATGGAGCTATGGACATCTGTTGTCCCTGGGCCTTGTCCCAGGCAGAAGTGATAGTTATGGTGACAGTTCTGTCCCAGGCTGACTTTCTGCCAGCTGCTCCAGTCTATTCCTGGGCTCTGAGCCCCCAGTCCAGGAACTTGCCTCTGGCAGGCAGACAGGCAGCGAGAGAGGGACGTACGCTCACAGCCGGCGGCGACTCACGGGCCCTCTCCCCTTGTTCTCCTTTCCAGGCTCCAGGGAACAGCGTCAGGGCTAGGGCGACAATGGTGTCGGTGACTATGGGTGAGTCTGTGGTCTTCTCTCCGGGGCCCCCTCTTCCCACTGCCCTTTTTGAGGTATGACCTTGGTTGGGGGAGACGGGGTGGGGGAGGGAGGGCCAGGCCACAGGCAGGAACAGCTGTACCCTGAGGAATGTGGAGGCCGGGCCGGGGCCTGCTCAAAGCCTACCTGCCTCCTCCCTATACCTTGGCCTCCTGACAGCCTAGCCTAGCCATTAAGAACTTGGGTTATGAAGTCAAGCAGATTTCCCACATGGCCTCTCAGAGCCTCAGTTTTCTTACCTGTAAAATGGAGATACTAATACTCTCTACATCCTGGGACATTGTAACGATTAAGGAGGTCATGTAAGTAAAATCTTGGGCATAGCTCTCAACAAATGTTAGCTATTATTATTATTCTCATGAGCCTTATCACCATATTCTCTTTAAGCTCTGTATTTTTGGGTTGTCAAAGCACAGAGATTAGCTGGTAGCTTTAAAAATTTGGGGGATTTATTGTATATATAGAAGAGTACATAAAACATTCGGTTATAAGACCAATTAAAAAGCAAACACCTGAGTGCATCTTTTATGATTCCATTTATATAAAGCACAGAAACAGGCAAAACCAATTGCTGTTAGAAGGTAGTTGTGGTCCTTTTGAGGCAGGGAGAAGTGATTACATAGGGATTATGAGGGGGTGCTTCTGAGATTTGGAAATGTTTTATTTCTTTATCTGGGTGCTTGTTACATGGGTGTATTGGTTTATGAAAACCTATCCACTGGGGAGGGGGGGGAAAAAAAGAAAACCTATCCGCTTATGTGTCCTTTTGTGCGTGTGTTTTATAATTCAATGAAAAGGTTTTAAAAAAGCAAACCCCCTCTTAGCATACAGGTTAAGAAATAGACTATTGCCAGCCCCCCAGAGGGCCCCACCCCAATCACAACCCTTTCCCTCCTCCAGATGGAATAAACCACTATCTTTGTGATAATCTCTCCTTACCTTTCTCTGTAGTTGTACCACCAGTAAAAACATTTCTATTCCATAGACTTTAGTTTTGAACTTATATGAATGAAATCATGCTGTGTGTGCTTTTGTGACTGGATTCTTTTGCTGAACATGATGTCTGAGAGTCATCTGCGTTGTCCTGTGCAGCTGTGGTTCTTTACTTTTCATTGCTGTATAGTATTTCACCACCTGAGCGGCCACCATTTGTTTATCAATGCTGCTGTCAGTGAATGTTGCAGTGTTTCTGGGTTGGGACCACTTCCGACAAGCTGCTGTGAATATGCTAGTGTTCGTCTCTCGGTGTGTTCAGCCTCTCGGTGTGTTCAGCAAGCCACACCCCATTGATACCAAGACTCATATTGTTGCTCATCTTATTTCTGAAATGGGGGTATGTCTTAGAGCTGGTGGCTTACGGTTGTTTGATTGGCAGTACATTTTCCTTCTTAGTAGTACAGTAAGTCCTCACTTAAAGTCGTCAGTAGGCTCTGTGACTTTAAGCAAAATGGTGTGTAACGAAACCAAATATAGGCTAGTTGACATTATAAACAAGAGTTAAGTTCATGTGGTATCACATCAATGTTACAAGGAAACGACGTTATTTGAGGACGTGCTGTGCATGATATGATGCTGTGGCCCAGATGTGGGGACTTTTCAGTTCCTTGACTTTGCTTCAGGCAGCTAGCTACTCACAAGCTATGTGGCACAGTTTCCCCCCTTAACAGTTTAATTGAGATACATTTCATACAATCACCTGTTTAAAAAGTACAATTCAATGGTTTTTATATTCTATATTCACAGAGTTGTGTAACCATCATCATAATCAATTTCAAAACATTTTTCATCTTCCCCCCAAAACCCATACCCATTAGCAGTCACTCTACATCCCCAGCACCTGGCAACCACTAATCTACTTTCTGTCTCTATAGGTCTCTGTAGATTCACCTGTTCTGGACATTTCATATAAATGGAATCATTATGTGGTGCTTTTTGATACTTAGACACAGGTACCCAATTTTGGCTGATGGAAGCCAGGGCTCCATGGCTTAGCAAGTGGCTAGTGCCTGTGCAAAGTAGAAGAAGGCACCCTTTTCCTCTGGGCTGGTGTGGAAGACCTAAGGGCATGAGCTTACCTGCCTCAATCCCGGGAGATGGGCCTGTGGCCAGGTGGGCAGGGGCCTCCTTGGAAGAGGGCTGGCCCTGCACTGCTACCAATGCAACATCTGGCCCAGAATGTGTCTCTTTTCCTCCTCTGAGCCTCAGTTGTCTTATAAGCAAGCAATTTAGCATAGTAATACCAAATTTCTTCTATTCTAAAATAGTATGGATTGTTGGATGTAGCGTTATGTATCATGAGAAAGAAAAGAAAACAAAACTGTTGCCAGTTAAAGTGTGGCACACCAACTTGGGCCTGTGAAGCAACGTCCTCCACAACTAAACTGAAGAACAAAACGACAGCAACTTGTCTGTTCCACTTCCCCAGCACTGTTCCCATCCCCCAATTCCCCAATAAAAATCTTAAAAAAAAATAAAAATATAAAAAAGTGTAGCACACCATCAACTGTGAGATAGATCCTAGTTTCAGAGATATTAAAATGTGAAAAAAAGTTCTACTTGAAATTAGTGATCTTATTTAACACCTGGCCTGACAGGTCAGGGTCAGTTTGAAGGTCACACCCAAGAGGGCAAGAAAGACGTTTAGGAAACAGTAAAGCTACATGGGTGGAGTTTGCCTGGTCTTGGCCTTGGCTCCATGTGTAGAGGTGGCAAAATGATAATAATAATAATAATAATAATAATAATAATAGTAATAGTAGTAGCTGCAATGGGTTGAGGACGTCCTCTGGGCCAGGCATCATTTTGAAGTCCTTTATGTGGTGAGTCTGCACAGTGACCCAAGGATGTTTGTGCTGTTATCTCTAGTATGTCAGCTTCATGAGGGAAGGGACTTGGTCTTGTGCCCTGTGGTATCCCCAGTGACCTAGGACAGGACCTGGCCTATGCCAAGTGCTTAGTAAGTACTTGTTGAATACATTACCCCAAATTTACAGATGAAGAAACTGAAGCACCGAGCGTTAACTTGCTCATAGTCCCTCAGCTAGGAAATGGCAGAGCCCGGATTTGAAACTTATGCTTTCAACTCCATACCTCACTGTGAGGCAGGGCTGCCCCTGTGAAGAGGCAGGGGCTTGCTGACACTCATCGGCCAGCTCTATGACCCTTATTTCCACCCACCTGCGGATCCTGTCACACTCTGGGTCTGTTGATGGGGACGGGCAGAGAACCCAGAGTCCTGGCTCCCCCAAATCAGTCATTGGCGAAGTATGGGGGGTGATTGCTGTGAGTCACACTCCAGGGCAGGGCAGAGCTGTAAGAAGGGACGTGTGGGAGCATATGGGCTGGGGAACTCTGCTTTTTGTTAGCAGTGTGGCTGGGGCTGAACTGCCCAACTTCTCCCTGCCTCAGTTTCCTCATTGGCAAAGTTGGGGGAGTGAATGCTGCTTAACCCACAGGGTTGTCAGGCGGTTAGTTCCGTGGTACATGTGAAGCACTCAACCCAGGGCCTGGCATTTGAAAGCGTTTAATTTGTGGGAGCCGCTGCTATTGTGGTTTTGCTGTGGCTGTTCTCTAAAGAGAATAATGTGAATAACGAACCCTGTCGACAACACCCCTCCTCTAGCCACTTCCGAGTGGATCCAGTTCTTTAAGGAAGCTGGCATTCCTCCGGGACCTGCTGTCAATTACGCTGTGATGTTTGTGGATAATAGGTAAGGACGCCAAGGGGACAGAGCTGAACTTGGGGAGGGGAGAAGTTGGGGGAGACAGAGAGCTGGCTGGCCCACCTGTGGCCTCACTGCTGACCCTCCTTTGTAGGATCCAGAAGAGTATGCTGCTGGATCTCAACAAGGAAATCATGAATGAGCTGGGCGTGACTGTGGTGGGTGACATCATCGCCATCCTCAAGCATGCCAAGGTGGTGCACCGCCAGGTGAGTGCTCTGCTTCACCCCTCTCTGTCCCTGGGTTTAGGGTGGGGTGGAGGGACAGTAACAGAGCCAACAGGAGGCTTGGAAGCAAACCTGAGTTCCAAGGCTGTTTCCACCACTTGCTGTGTGACTTTGGGCACATTGCCTAACGTCTCTGGGCCTTACTTTTTCCATCTGTAGAATGCACAAAGACAACCCCATTTTGCAGGGCAGTTGTGTTAAGTTACATAAAACCCTAGTACAGTATAAACAGTAGGGCTTCAGTAAAGGCTGTATGTAATTATTATTATTACTTCTCATTTTACAATGATAATTATCACTAGAAGGACCCAGTTGAGACTTGGCCAACAACATGGTCATTCTGTTATTGGTCCCCGAGCTTACAGTGACCTTAGACTGGTGATTTTACCTCCCTGAGTCTCTGAAACACACTTTTCACACACCCCTGCTGCATAGGGTAGCTGTAGCCATCTACAGATAATGTATGTGGCCCTGATTGCCAGGCCTGGAGTAAGTGCTTGTGAAGTTATGATAGCTAACACCAGGTGCTTGCCATGGCCTGCCAGGCCCTGTTTCCGCCCTTCATACATATGAACTCATTTACTCCTCCCTCCACTTGACTGAGGAGGAAACCTGTTCCAGAGTAGCACTTCCAAGCACTCCGCTTTACCACATGGTGGCTGCTGGTGTTATTCTCGCCACTCCTGGTGGCTTCCTCCATTTCAGAGACGGCCTTCATATGTCCATCCTCTAGGACAAGACCCCACAGTGAGGGCTTTCTCAAGTCAGGGATGTGATCAGAGTTACAACGGAGATGATCACTGAACAAAACGTTTTTTTTTCTTCACACTTTTAAATTTGGGAACAATTTTCAACTTCTAGAAAAATTCCAACAATAGTACAGAAAGTTTCTTCATGTCCATCACTCAGCTTCCCATAATGTTAACATCTTACACAGCTATGGTACATTTGTCAAAATGCAGAAAACATTAGTATGCTATCATTAAACTACAGACCATTTGGATTTCAGCCGTTTTTCCACTAATGTCCTTTTTCTCTTCCAGGATGCCCCACTGCATTGACTTATCATGTCTCCGTAGTCTCTTCATTTGTGACAGTTTCATAGTCTTCCCAGGTTTTTGATGACCTTGACAGTTTTATTTTTTCAAGTTATAGCTAATAAGCTTTATTAAAGTCGTAATATTTTGCTATATTTAGTTCAGGTATATATTTTTTAAATTTATTGTTCAATTACAGTTGACATCCAATATTATATTTGTTTCAGGTTTACAACATAGTGATTGGACATGACCTTGACAGTTTTGAAGAATACTGGTCAGGTGTTTTATAGAATGTCCCTCAGTTTGGGTTTGTCTAATGCTTTCTCATAGTTAGGAGTGAGATGTTTTGAAATCTTTTCTCTAGTGGCTCTTATACCCCTAATTTTGCTTAGATTTCTGGGTTTCCTATTCCCACCTCATACCCCTGTCTCCGTGGTAACAGGCACCTATTTTTTTACAGGACATGTGCAAAGCCGCTACTGAGTCAGTGCCCTGCAGCCCCAGCCCCCTCCCAGGCGAGATTCGCCGAGGGACCTCTAGTGGTGAGTCCCATCTGGCCAGGCCTCCTTTCCTTCATTCTCACATTCCTGCAGTGAAGGGAACACACCTGGAGCCTGTAGAAATGGCAACAAAGCCCTCTGAGGCTGTCTTCTCTTAGGGAAAAATACACTGGGTGAGGGACTGGGTGAGGTAGTTCTGTTGTATAAAGTCACTGCGAATGCTGAATTAGTGAATACTGAACCCCTGCTCCTAGGGGAAATACAGGGTTAGGTTCCTGTGAGCCTTTGATCACATTTTCATCAACTGATCAATACAGAACCTTCTTTTACAAGGTGTGATCAAACAATACAGTGAATGTTTAAATTTAAAAAAAGTTATTACAGTAAAAGACGTATTATTGCCATTAATCCCCTTCAAAATACTCCCCTTCTCTTTGGAACACACTTATCCCATCGTTTTTGCCACTTTGTGAAGCAGTTCTGGAAGTCCTCTTTCATGAGTGTCTTTAGTAGTACTGTTGTGGCTGCCTCGATGTCCTGAATCGATTCAAAACGTTTACCTTTCATGGTCATTTTGACTTTGGGGAAGAGCCAGAAGTTGCATGGTGCCAGATCTGTGAATAAGTTGGATGAGGACACACCGTAATGCTTTTATTTGACATAAATTGCCATGCCAGAAGTGATGTGTGACACGGAGCGTTGTCATGATGGAGGATGATTTACGGCACACTTTAAAACACATCTTCTCTCAGGCCGGCCGAGTGGCTCAGTTGTTTAAGAGTGTGAGCTCTGAGCAACAAGGGTCACAGGTTCGATTCCCACATGGGCCAGTGAGCTGCGCCCGAGCTGAGCTGCCACTGAGCTGCCAACAGGTGGACAGTTTTTTTACTTTTGTTTTTTCAGCAGTATGATACCTTTAAAAAAAATAAACTTAAAAAATTTAACATGCATATTAGTTAGCCTTTGCTGCTTAACAAGCCACCCCCAAACTGGTTTAAAACACAGACTTTCACTTCTTATGGTTTTATGACTTGGCTGGTCAGTTCTGCTCTGGGCCAGCTCAGCTGACCACAGTGGTCACCTGACAGCTCTGCTGAGGCTGGGTGATCTAGGATGACCTCGCTCACATGTCCGATGGTTGGCTAGATATCAACCGGGACAACAGGGGCGACTTGACCATATGTCTCTCATTTTCCAGCAGACTAGCCTAGGCTAGCCTAGGTGGTTGCAGGGTTCCCAAAAGCAGCACAAGAGGGTGCTGGCCCCATTCTACAAATCACTTCTTAAGCTTCTGCTTGTATAACATTTGCTCTTGTCCCATTGGCCAAAGCCAGTCACATGGCTCAGCCCAGAGTCAGTATGGGCAAGTCCTACCTAAAGGCATGGATGAAGGGAGGTTGAACAAATTGGGGTCCCACAACTTACATACAGAAAAGTACCTTCAGATCATAAAAGTACAACAGAATAGAATGACTTTTCACAAGTAGGACACCCCTGTAGATAGCAGCATTCAAATCCAGAAACAGAAACATGACCAGCATCACCACCTCCTCTCAAGGGTATCCACTACCCTGATTTCTAACAGCATAGGTTAGTTTTCCCAGTCTTTCAAGTCTGTATAAATGGGATTAGGTAGTATGTACTTTTTATACCATTGTGAGTGTCTTAAGTAGTTTAAGATAAATTTAAAAAATTAAACAGAAATACTAGTGGAGGAAATAGGCAATAAAGAAGAGAAGCGGAAACAGGTCAAGAAGGAAAGGGGGGCAGAATGCTCCAAAACAGCATTCCTGACGCTATAATATCGAATGTGTGTGTCCATGTTGAGGCAAAAGAAAAGAACAGCTGTTCGTACTCTGACATCCTGACTGCCACTCAAATTCAGTAGAGCAGACAGAGTGTTTTTCCCTCCACCCAAATGGTGTTTACCTGTTATGATAAAACATAGTATCCCGGATCCCTTTGAAGCAAGACCTTTCCCTCTGTGGCCACTGTCACCTGCTCACCTTTTACAGCAGAACATCCCAGTCACACTGCCCTTGGCCCGGCAGAGTGTTGGTAATAACAAAGGTCCTCCCAGTACAGATTCTAGCAACCAGTCCTCAAAAAGCCGCCCCTATCTGCTTTAAGAACATCTAAAGAAATGTCTTGGGAAAATGTTGGAAGGGGATACACCAAATTATTAAGAGGGGAGTAAGCAGGGTCGAAAACAGACCCTTTCTTCCTGGGAGTGGGGAGGGATGAATTCTGATTGGGAAGGGCCAATTCCCAACTTCTAGGTGGCAGGAATGTTCCAGTTCCTGACCTGGGTGCCAGGTATGTGGGAGTTCACCTTTTGCTAAGTGGCCTGTGTAGACTTGATGTATTTTCCTGTGCGCTGTAGTTATAAAAAACAAACAAACAAAAAGAACCCAACATAGCAATATGTAATTATAATACTGTGTTGAGGGTCATTATGGGGAACTTTAGGAGGCTTCAGGAGAGCACATAGCCGGAAAAGAGAAGACTTGTGGGGGTGGATAGGACAAAAGACCCAAATCGGAAAGCCACTGGTGGTGGGGGGTTGTTACTGGGACTGTCAAGCAAGCAGGGGCAGCATGAAGATTGTCCCCTCCTTCCCTACAGGGCTTCCCCAAGAGCTCTGGAAACCCACGCCCTAAAGCTAGCAGCAGCTGCACCCTGAGACAGGACTGTTTCCTTCCCATGCTGAGGTTGGCCCTCCAGTCAGTGCCCTGTAGCTCCTGCCTTGTACTGTGGGACATTCCTCCTCTTTCTCCACAGAAGACAGGGGCCTCCAGAGACTGCCCTCCTACCCCCACAGGGAGGTCACTGCTTTCTTTCTTTTTTTTTTTTTTTT